CAGAATAACTTGATATCCACATGCAAAGGAATAAAGTTGGACCCCTACTTCTTACCATATATAAAAATTAACTAAAATTGATCAGAGACCTATATATAAAAGCTAAAACTCTAGAACTCTTAAAAGAAAACACAGGTAAAAGTCTTTGTGACCTTGGATTAAGCTATGGTTTCTTGGATATGACAGCAAAGGCATAAACAAGAGAAAAAAATAGATAAATTAGACCTCATCAAAGTTTACAACTTTTATACTTCAAATGATGCTAACATAAAGAGTGATAAGGCAATCTAAAGGATGGGAGAAAATATTTAGAATTCATGTATTTAAAGATTTGTGGTGCCTAACATATTACAAGTAATTAAGGCTAGGTATGCAATTCAGGGGTGGAAAGCTTGCCTAGCACGCTCAAAGCCCCGGGTTTGAGCCCCAGCACAAGAAAAACAAGCAAATAAAAAGAATAATTATTGTAATATAATGAGAAAGAAAACAGTTAAGTTGTGGGCAAAGGATGTGACCAGATACACAAATAACCAATAAACATATCTGAGATGTTCAATGTCATTTGTCGTCAGGGAAATACAAATGAAAACTACAATGACATGCCACATCGCACACATTAGGATGACTATAATAAAAAAAAGACTGACAATACCAAGTGTTAACAAGGAACCTGGTGCATTGCTGCGAGGATTTGAAACAGTGCCGCTGCTGTGAAAAATCTGGTAGTTTTACAAAAGGTTAAATAGAGTTGCCTAGGACTCAGCAAGTTCATGCCTAGGCATATTTGCAACAGAATGGAAAAGTCAGTCCAAAAAAAAGTGCATGTGAATGCTTTTCACGGTGTTGTTCATAATAGCCAAAAAGGGGAAACAATTCAAATGTCCATCAACTGAAGAATGGGTAAACAAAATGTGGTATATCCATACAATGGAATATTATTTAACCATAAAATGAAGTGAAGAACTGATTCATGTTACAACATGGATGAACCTGAAAAACGTACCAACTGAAAGGAGCTAGACACAAAAGGCACCTGGGGCATGATTCCATTTATGATAGACACATCCATAGAAACAAAGGAGACCACTGGCTGCCAAGGTCTGGAAAGGGAGCTGTAGGGAGAGACTGAACAGATACAGGGATTTCTTTGGAGTGATGAGAACATTGTACAACTTGATAGTGGTGATGCTCGCACAACTTTGTGAATACACTAAAAACCACTGAATTGTACACTATAAAAGGGTGAATATTATGATTGTGAATTATATCTCAATTTTTTTTTCTTGTTTTTTTTTTTTGGGGGGGGGGGGCGGGGGGGGATGCTGGGGATTGAACCCAGGATCTTGTGCATGCAAGGCAAGCACTCTACCAAGTGAGCTACATCCCCTGCAATATCTCAATTAAAAAAAAAAAGAAGAAGAAAAGAAAGAAAAAAGAAGCTAGAAAGGAAACATCAGAATAAAAAATGAAAAGAGAAGAAAATAATAAATAAATAAAATTAATGAAGTAAAAAAAATGAAAAGAATTTTTAAAAAACCCTGATTTTTAGGGGGTGGAATGAAAACTAAAGCAAAAATGCCCCAGGTGAGACCGATGAGGGATTCCAGGCAAGCAGACCTTTTGTTTTTACAAAACCACAAATTATCTGAATGATGAATAACACAAGTGTGGATTTAGGTATGCGGCGGCCCCAAGCTTACACATTCTATTCCACCTGTCCACCTCTGCTATTTCCAGAAGTCTAATGCTTGGACTCAGAACCTTAAATCAAACTTCTGTTTGTTTCCTACATTCTTCTCTTACTGGTCCAGATGTGACCAGACACTGGGGAGAGCTGGGAGGTTTTATGAGGCTCTGTTTTTTCCAGGGTTTATCTTACAAATAATTTATTTTTGCAGCATCACACTCTGGTGCACTTTCTTTGCTGTACTGGACAAATTATTTCAATATTTGCAACATTGACCATCTTGAGTCAAGGCAAATGATTGACCCAGTTTGCTCCCCCAAAAGTTCATGGCTTTGAAAAGAAAGTTCACCCCAATCTGGCCTCACACAGAGGGATCTAGTCTGTGGCCCCAGGGGGCACCTTTCAATGCCTCAAACAAGCCAGACCCTCTCCCATTAGAGGCTGGTCCATTACTACCTCTTCCTCTCATTTGGAATGCCACCACCCAGGACGAAACCCTGCATGTTGAAATGCCCCCCCACCTTAGTATGCAGGTTTTAATGCCCCTCTGTGGCTTCGTGGTTCATGCAGTCTTAAGGTAATGCACAAGAGGAATCAGAGGGCAAAGTACATGGTGCCCTGACTGTCTTGCAGATGGCAAGGAGGACATAATGCTTCTGCACAGCCCTGGGACCTTGGATGCCACAGCCAAGACCTTCTCTGCCCGGGTCCGAAGAGCCACAACTTCAAGAACAGAGAGGATATGGCCTGGAGGCGTCATCCCCTATGTCATCGGAGGGAACTTCACTGGTCAGTAGCCCCAAATAAGGCTGCTTTGGGGCTGGGTGCTCTGGCTCCCAGGGTTGAGAGCATCCTTCCAGGAGGGACTTGGGTGGGACAGAGTGAATGCCAGGACCACAGCAGTCCCAATCTGCCTAGGCTCTCTTGTTCCCAGGGAAACCACAATCTCTTTTAGGGCTGTATTCTCAAAGTGGTCACCTTGTTCCCAAGGATTAGGTAGGGACAAATCACCCTGGTCCTGAAGGACAGATGGGGTTTGCACTATAAGCATATGAAGACAAGCCAACTCCCACCCCCAGACACAAAGGGCAGCACAAGTGGCTGCACATGGTAGCCTGTCATCTTCTGCCCAGATGAGCACTAGTAGTCCCTTATCAACAATCATCAGAGTAGTGCTCTCCGGGGCAAGCAGGGGGTGCCAATAGAGGTGACACGATGTGGCATGACTCCCTGGGTTCAAATAACGACATTTCCCATCCCACAGAGATGTTTTCAGAATCAAATAAATTAATATAGATAAAGCACTTAGAATTGGGTGTAGCACATAGTAATTAGTATTTCCTGTTAGTATTATTGTCTTTAGAATATGTGAGTCATCCCGTTGGCTTCCCATTGCCTCTGAAACCACCCATCACGGCCTACCAGGCTGTCCCCTGGTGGCCTGCCTCCCCCGCTTCCTGGTCTTCTACCTTCTCCTCCTTTTCCCTAGTCCCTATGCTCTGGCCTCAGCAGCCATCTTCCCGTTCCAGAACATGCCCACCTCCAGCCCCCTTGGCACATGTAGGCTGGCACTTGCCCTTCTGTTTGCCAAGAGCTTTGCATGGCTGGCTGCTTCTAATCAGTCAAGTCTCACATGAAAGGACACACATCCATAGAAAGTCCCTCTGCCTCCCCATGACCCCATCAGGTGTCCCAGAGCCTAGTTTAGAACCTTTACGGCACTTATCATCACCCAAAATGACTTCCCTTCTTATTTCTGGTTGCTTTTCGCCTCTGCCTGAGCTCTGTGGGGGCTGGGTTTTTTTTTCCTTCCTATTTTCTCTCCCACATCTCCAGCACCTAGGACAGGGCCTGGCCCAGAAGAAGCAAAATCTGTCCATGGCAGGCCTGTGGCCAGTACAGCCAGAGTTGAACACCTCAGTGAAAGCCACCGAGTGAGCCCCCAGGTTCTCAGTGCCCTTTATGAGTCCTTCAGATCCCTGTGGCTCTGTGACTTCTACTATAAGAGGTATTTGATAAAAGAAGGTGTCCTGATGACCTGCCATGGCCACTGAGAACCACAGATGAGCAAGTTGGTGAAAGAACTACACAGACCTGGAGAGTGGTCCCCTGGAGCCTGGAAGGAGCATGGAGCTGCCCCTTTGTCTCTTCTTGGTGGCATTACCCACACTTCCTAGAGCCAGCTGCATCATTAAGTGCTGCAGTAAAGAGATGACTAGGACTTTGTCCTGCCCTTGGGGAGCCCCCAGTTCTAAAGCAGAAAAGTATATATGCCTAAGGAACCGAAAAGTAGGATTATGAATGGCTGCCATTGTTTTTGGTATCTTAATTGTGTTCTGACCATAGATTATATTACCTTCTGTGATCATCTGACCACAGATTATATTACCTTCATCAGAATGAACTAATGGTATATATTAGGATTTTGTTGTTCTTTAATACGTAGGATTGCTATTTTGATGAGTAATTTAGCCATCAACAAATTGAACTGAAAATGTCAAGATGTCCAGAAGAGTGGGCAGCTGTTATTCTTTATTCTGTGTCCATGTTTTGGGGGATAATATGACAAGGTGCCCACATCTTCTAGACTATGGCAGGAGTTTATTTCAGTTTTTTATGTTTTAATTTAATTTAATTTACTTATTTGTACCCCTCTAACACTCTAACTCCTAGCCTCAGCCCTGTTTGTACTTCCCAAATACCTATGTTTTTTGAAAGCTTTTTGAAAAGCTGAAAGATATTTAATTGATAAAATTATATATATTCAAGGTGTACAAAGTGGTAATTTGATACATGATTCCATTATGTAATAATCACCACAATTAAATTAATTAACACATCCATCACCACCTGTAGTTACCATTTGGGGTATATGTGTGGGGATGGAGCAGATTTAAAATCTGCTCTTATTACATTTCAAGCAAACATTACAATATTATTAGCAGGTCTGTTTTCTTTGATCATCAGAGCAGACTTAGGCCAGCATGTTTAAGGAAGGCATGGCCCCAGGTATGAAGTGATCAGCCCTTGCCCTGTCGTTCCAGGCAGCCAGAGGGCCATTTTTAAGCAGGCCATGAGACACTGGGAAAAGCACACCTGTGTGACCTTCATAGAGAGGACGGACGAGGAAAGCTTTATCGTTTTCAGTTACAGGAACTGTGGGTGAGTACACAGAAGCAAGACCCTCTTAGCAGAATCAGAGGTGCATGAGTCTTGAATTCCTCTGTAACACTAAGGTGGTGATTTATAGGTGTCGAGGGTTTGCTGGAAACTCTCCTTGCCCTCAGTGAAATTGCAATCCATTTACAAAGCAGATGAGTCCAGAGTGACTCCAGGAAGACCTACTCTTAGTGGGTCCCATTTCTAGGAGTGCAATAGGTTGTATTTTATATGGAGAAAAGGTTAGGCCAGTGGCTTTTAACCTCTGATCCCACTGAGAAGCCGATAGCTGGAAAAAGCTGTCCTTTCTCAAGAATGAATGTACATAGATGCAAAGTTCTGCATAGCCTTACACACTTCCTACAGAAACATTACACACAAGAAAATGACTGAATTATGAAAAAAGATATCTGTTATGCTGATAAATGTGTGAGGTACTCTCTAGTGAAAAAGAAAGGTTTCCATTTAAGGTCAAAAATCAAAATCGAACTGCATGCTCTACATATAAGCTTAGAATCATGAGCTGGGTCCATAACCCAGAGAGGTTTAAAAGCAAAAGAAAGGAGGTGTACAGACAAACACTAGCAAAGGGAAGTTGGCATCCTGATTGTAATTATAGATGAGGCTTTTCTTGTTTGGGTTTTTGTTTTTATTATGCATTTGTTTATTTTGTGGTGCTGGGGATTGAACCCAGGGTCTTCGCCCATGCTAAGCAAGATCTCTCACTGAGCTACATTCCCAGCCCTGTTGTCATTTTTGAAGTTAGAAAGTGTTTAAAAAAAAAGTGACACTTTATAATAAGGAAGGGTACAAGTTATGGTGAGAATATGTGTCACAAATATTTATGCACTAAATCGCATAGCATTAAGAGTCATAAAACAAGCCTTGGGTATCCAAGGGGAAATTGACAGAAATACCAGCAGCAGGAGATTTACTTCACTTTCATCAAGTAGGTTAGCATCAAGTTGTCTAAACAAATAAGTAGAGAATATAGAGGATCTAAAAAGTATAATTAGTACAGTTGGCAGGAGAATGAAATAAACACTATGAATACTGACTCTGTAGGTCTGTTGTATTCTGTAACATCTTTTTAAAGTGCATGTTGAAGGTGTATTGACCTTGTCCATCTATTCAGCATTAAGAACATCTCAGTAGGCCCTAAAAGGCAGAAATAACATTAAAATATTCTCAGATTCAAAGCAATGAAACTGGACACAATAACAAAAATATAATTACCATTACTTGATAAGTTAAAAGCTCCTCCTATTTTTTTAATAGCTCTTAGGTCTTACAAAAATCAAGATTAACATGGCAGAATGTCTAGATAATGAAAGCCGTATGGTTCAAAATGAAATAGATAAGGCCAAGGCCTTATCCACAAAATATCCACACCAATACTTAAGAAATAAGTATCCAATTAAGAGAAGTAAGCTACAATAAATAAAATAGATATAAACCACAGTTGTCACAATAAAAAAAAAAACTAATGAGAGCACAAGGAGACATTATAGGGCTAGTAAATTCAAGAGTGAAATCTTTGAATAAACAAGAGACAACGGATAAACCACTTGTTGGTGTAACTGAGACCAAAAGTGGCAGCACAGAAACACACAACATTAGAAATGGAAAAGATTTTATGATTATAAAAGAGTACTTTGCAACATTCCAGGGCAAGAAATGTGAAAATCTTGATAATGTGAATGACTTCAAGGTAAATATAAAGTACTGGCGCACACCAGTGGCTTTGAAAGAAATTGAAAAATGGAGGTAAAAAAGCTTTCTTGCCCTAAGAACCAAATGCAGAGTTTCATAGGGGAATTCTTTTATACCTTCAAGAATTAGAATATTCTGATACTACTGAAACTTTTCAGAGCATAGGAAAAAAAAAAAAAACATTTTCAAATTCCTCTAAGGAGCTATCATGGGCTTGCTTCCCTAAAATGACAAGGACGGCATCAACAATAAATAAACAAATAAGTTATAGACATCTCACATATGAATAGTCATGAAAAATCTCAAGTAAAACATTAGACTCAGCAGTAGGAAAAAGGAAGAGTAGTTGCCACGTAGGCTAAGGAATACAGGACTAGTTCATCATTAGGAAATCTACTCACAAGATTGATAGGCCAAAGGAGGGAAACCATGTGCATATCTCAATATGTGCTAAAAGGCATCTGCAGGTTTCAACATGCATTTTCTGTCTTCAAAAAGGAGGTAGCACAGTACTAGATGTCAATTACAAAAAGATATACACACACACACACACATACATATGAAATACATTTATATATCATTGCATTTGAAACCACAAGCCAATATTGGTAACAATCCTAGAAGCATTTCTGTTGGAATTAGGAACAAGCCAAAGATGTTTATGGTCACTACCATGATTTGACCTTGCTTTGGAAATACTAAGTGATATAATGAGGCAGGAGAATGAAATAAACATTATGAATATTGGCAGGAACAAGGCAAAGTTCGTGTTATTGGAAGTTAATGTGATCATGTGCCTAGAAAACCCAGAAAATCAATTGAAAAACCATTAGAAACCCAAAGAGACTCTACTAAGGTGGACTGATCACAAAAGTAACTGGCAAAAAAATGAATTGCTTTTGTTTATACATGAACTAGCATGATGCGTTTTACAATGGAAAAAAATATTGCTTTTTAATCATTATCAAAATTTCAAACGCCCACATCCTTTTGTTCATTAATTCCATTGCTTGGGATTCACCCTACCGTGAACAAGAGAGATTCCAGCTTTTCTTTGTTTCCCTTTTGTTTTGGTGTGGTTTATTTGTTTTATTTCTCTCTTGCAGCTTTGTTTAAATAGCAAAAACTAAGTGTATTTTGGCAAGAGACCAATGAAGTAAATTTTAATGCTATAAAAATATTTAGTACCGAGAAATAAACTTGGTACTGTATTGCTTTGAAAAGAATTAATGAAGTCTACAGTGGGCTCTTTAAAGCCAAAAATGAGGGAAAGAGGCAGGCTGAAAAACAAGGTCCATAGTGTATTGTGTAATTTAAATATATACTTATATAAAGATAGCTTTCTGTCTCTCTGTATTTATATCTGTCCATCTGTCTGTCTTATAATTGTCTGGGAATACATCCAAGAAACTGTTAGCAATGTTTAGCTTTGGATAGAGATTGGATGTGCGGATGAGAGACTTCGATCTTTTGAAACACGGTCAATAGACGTTATCTGGATGATAAGATGATGGGACATTTTAATAGTTTGACAAAATCAGTGTTGGACAGTGTATTAGGAATAATGAATAAATAGTTGAAAAAAGAATTGTGCCCAGAAGGGAGTCTCTGTTTCCTCTAACAATGGTACTAAGAGGCACACTTTCCAGAACTTCTGCCTCCTTCTCCCATCTCTTTTCCTCGTCCTTATAAATGGTCCAATCGAGCCTCAGGTGCATGTGCTTAATTCCAGGAGGGGAAACTCTTTCTTCAGATTCCCAGAAGGTTTGAGAAGCATCTTTTGAGGACATCTCTGTATTCGGCAGGGGGTCAAACAATGGGAGGACTTTTACCTCTGAAGTGTGCCAGTGGGTGGGTGGGGAGGGGTGGGGTTCTTGCCTCTTGCCCTGGATATCCCCTGACCTGCTGACCTGAGTGTTTCTATCATTATCCAGCTGTTGTTCCTACGTTGGGCGTCGAGGAGGGGGACCCCAGGCCATATCCATTGGCAAAAACTGTGACAAGTTTGGCATCGTGGCTCACGAGCTGGGCCATGTGGTTGGTTTCTGGCATGAGCACACCCGGCCAGACAGAGATCAGCATGTCACCATCATCAGAGAAAACATCCAGCCAGGTAAGGAGGCCTGTGTGGAGTCTGGAAGCCACATCCAGGAAGGTGGCACCCACAGGGTCAAGAGGGAGTGGAGGAGAGGGCCTGCCGGGAGCTGAGCAAAGCTGACAGCTAAACATGGGGCAGCGACCCAATTGTGTGGGCACTTGCTGCCAGCACTGCCACTGTCCGTCCCACTGTGGCCTTCTTGGGCAGTCACCTGCTCAAGTTTGTAGAACAGAAATGAAATAATGATTTTCCCATGTTGTAAAAGACAGTTCCCTAAATAGAACAGAATCAACCAGAATTCTGTTGCAGCATCAGGGCTGATCAGCCAAAGAAAGTTCTCCCGGCTGCCGTCGTAAGTCATTTTGCTGACTTGGGCAACACATGGTTTTGAAACTGCAGTGCAGTTAAGATACCAGTGCGTGTAAGAGCCGTGTTTCTGCCTAGAAGCCTTCTGCCCCAAGGCAGCTAACGCATCTAGATTTTTAAAAACATATCTTCTCACGTTAAATAATTAAATTTAACCGTTGATATTTAACAGGAAACTTGCTTGTTGAGTTATAGGATTGCCTTCAACATGCTTTAGAGATCTAAACTGTGAAGTCCTTGGGATTGAATTTAACTCTGATTCATTTTCATTTCCTCCTTCAAATTGCAAGAATGGAATTTTTGATTTTTAGCTTAACTTTTTTTTTTTTTTTTTGGCAAGCAGATTGAGTGCTAATCAGCCTGCAAATATAGTTCAAGATCTTCAAGTGGCATTTGGGGAGGGGTGTTGGGTGGCAGGGCTGGGAGAACACAGGGCTTGCGTTAAGTTTCCAATTTCCAACTTCTGTTAGAAACAGCAACAGGAAGCTCTGTAAACCCTGTTATTTGACTAGCTGGGATAAGAGTGGCGGGAAATGCTACGGGCCCTCCCTCTCCCTCCTCTGCCTCCTTTCAGGTGCTGCCTTGGTTTTCAAAGTCCTTAACAGAGTGTTGTGTCACAGGTCAGGAGTATAATTTCTTAAAAATGGAAGCTGGGGAAGTAAGCTCTCTGGGAGAGACCTACGACTTTGACAGCATCATGCACTACGCCCGGAACACCTTCTCAAGGTCGGAACCCTTGCTTGTGCTGTCTGTGTTTTATCGTGCCTGCCGCAGGCTTGGGTCAGATTCCTGAGGTCTGTGCAGAGTGAGCGAGTCTCTGCATGCTCCTAGCACGGCTGGCCTGTCTGTCCTTGAAATACAGTGGCCCCTGGGCTGCAGTGAAATATAATCTAATCAGGTTCCTGCTAATAAGATTGAATCCCATTGTGAAGCTGGCGTTCCATCATATCCTAATGTCACAAGCAGCAAACTGGAAAAGGGGAATTATTGAGAGGTTAGCTGGGATAATAACTTAGAAGCTGTGTGTAAAATTTTGGGGGAGTGGGGGAACCTTTTTAAAGCATGTCCTTGTGTAAGTGTGGTGGTGCTCACTGCTTCTCCTAGAAGAGGTTTGGTTTATTGGAAGCTAGGTCGTGTCAGAGGCTGGAGGGCTGTAAATCACAGATTCACCTTAGAGGTAAAGAAAATGAGGCTCCAGCCAGCTCAGAGGTGCACAGGTAGCTGGGGTTGGAGGGAGAACAAGGATCCAGGTTCTCTGCCTGCCGATCATGGATGATGGAAGGTATTTTACTGAGTGGGGCTGGACCTGTTTTTTTATGGTTGGCATTGGCAGGGTCTGAAGAGCCGGGTCACTGTTCTCCTCCTTACTGTCCTGCTTCTAGGCCACATAAATGTTTTTTTTTTTGTGTGTGTGTGTAGAAGTTTTTCCATACCAGTTCCATTTTTTGTGGGTCTTCCCGCTCTTGAGTTAAAGAAGATACACAGTTCAGATATTCTCTCTCTTGGAACTTTCTTTTCAGTGTCCTCTTAAAACCAGCTGTTTGTTTATTTAATTGTTCCCCCAGAAAAGGTTTGAGGTGACTTCCAATACATGCATACAAGGAAAAAAATGGATTGAGAAAACTGGGGGAAAGAGAGGGGAAAAAAATAAGAATAGAAAGTTACATTGAAGCCTGGAATAACTTTAATACTCAGAATACATGCTGTAAGTTCTTGTACATCTTGATGGGGTTGACAGCAGACCTTGCCCTGTGCATCCTAGCAGTCACAGCAAAAAAGGGAAACAATCTATTTTGGGAGTTGTCATTGTGCATAAAGATTAAAGGTAGCCATTGGCTCAGGAGACCGTTTCTAGACTGAAATAAATACCAGTCACCAGGCCTCCTTTGTTCTGGTGAGACTGGTGGAGGCACCCTGTTGATGCCGTCATAAGATTAGTAAATCTCAGCATCCCAGGTTCTCCAGGGCACTGTTCCCTGGCCACACAGCTGAGTCAGTCCTGACCCGTCTCCTGAATCCAGGAGGGAGCTCCCGAGCTCTAATGGGAGAGTTCAGTCAAGTCAAAATCTTTGACAGCATTTCAAAGTGGCATAGGCCGAGCTACCCTTGGTTCTTCTTTCTCCTCCTGGCTCTTCTTCAAAGACACAAGGGGCAGTGGAGTGTGACCAAGAGGCCACTGAACTGAGAGTAGGAAGACTGGGTTCCAACCCGAGGTCTCTCACAGCCTGGCAGCTGAGGTAGGTGCAGATAGCAATTAGGGGGAGCTGTGTAGTTCGTTCAATTTCCCATTCCATGGGGCTCAGTCTTTCCATGAGTGTCCTCTGAGCCCCTTCCATCTCTAACCTTCATGTTTCACTTTCTTAATCTGGTGTAGATGGGTGAGAGGTTGACAGATAGGCTCTTACCTGATTCTGTACAGGAAATCTGGAGCTGGCTGGGCTTCCTCTTCCATGTTGGGAGGCTGAGACTTTGAGAGCCCACTGTGGGGCTTTGTGTGCAGTCTCAGGAAGCCAGTGGAGTGGGCAGGATGAGAGCCTGTCGGGGGTGCATGTCCCTGTGTGTTGGGCTGACCCTCCAGTTTGGGAAATGGCACAGGGAATAACCAAGTATCACTCCATCATCCCATCATCTGTCATGTAGAGATCAAGTACTACAAGAGTAGGAACCTTTGTTGAGTTGGCCCCACTGAGAAGCTGGTACCTTGGATCTTGTTTCTGTAACTCTTCATGTTGCTTTTTAATTAATTATGGAATTATGATTGATCTCTTATTATTTGCATTTTGTATTCTTCTCTCCCTTGGTAGATGAGATCTTTGGGGAGAGTCTATCTCTTTCTCTTCTAGTCTTCAGCACTCAGTAGGGTGCTTGGCACATGATAGATATTTGTTAAATGAGTATACTAATGTATGAGTTCCAAGGGGCCCAGGAGGTCAGCAGTGTTGTTGCAATTCTCTGCACATTTCATGATAAGTGACTTCAGTAAGGAGAATCTGTGAGCTCTCCCAGCCTGAGTGTGCTGTGGGAACTGCAGTGTCTTTGGGCCTGTTCTGTGCCAGGTGCTGCATAAAACTTTGGAGCCAGAGGCCAGACATGGGCTCTTTTGACATCAGCACTTCTTTCCTTGTCTTTTTTTTTTTTTTAAAGAAAAATTTCTTATTTTTTTCCCCTTGAGATTTCTAGCTCATAATCCCATCCCTTTTGCCCCTCAGGAGAAAACCATTACTGCTATCTATTATCAAAGGCAACCATTTTATCAGCATGAACCAGGGGAAATCCATGATCCAAACCCATGAAATAATCTCTCCTCATCCAAAGTACCCACAGTTCCTAGGAGGGAGATTGACAGGGGCAGCACTGGGTGTGATGGGCAGCTTCCCCAAAGGCCATCTTCCCTTCTGCAGCTGTTACCTTATCTATTATTGCAGAACAATTCTCGGCCTAACCTAGCAGAACAATCCGCTGCCAAACTTAGGGACTTAAAACAGCAGCTCATTCTTTTTTCTGATACTCTGGGTCAGTCCGGCTCATTTTTCTCTGGTCTGCCCTGATATCACTCATGCAGCAACAGTCATTTGACAGTTTGAACTGGGGGTCAAGATGACCAGTCACATAGCTCACAGTTGGTGCTGCTTGGCCGTGCCAGTCGGTCCCCCTTCCCACGGGCTGTCATCCTCCAGTAGGTGGGAGCAGGCTCTTCTCTGCTTGAGGACTCAGCTCCTGGGGGCGAGCTGGGAAGCAGCAAGGCCCAGGCTTAGAACTTGCATGACATCTGTCTCTTCTGCTCCATTTTATTGGTCAGAGCAACCCACAAGGCCAGCCCAGTCTCTGGTGAAGAAATAGATTCCACTTCTGAACGAGAGAGAGGAGTGGCAACTTCACATTGCAAAGGGATATAAATATTAGGAGGTGTGATTAATTATTTTATTAATCTATCACTGCTCTCTTTTTACCTCTGCACCAGAGTTTGGAATGTTTTTTTTTTTTTTTTTTTTTTTTCCAAATCTATTTTGCTACAGGTAGATACCTAAATTGTCTTTTCTGCCAATTTTCTGAAAACCATTCTTTTCTTTGGGCCCTTACTAGGGGGCTTTTCTGGAATTTTGTCCAAAGTTTCTCAAGTCCCAGTGGCTCAGGAGGCTGAGGCAGGAGGACAGCAAGTTTGAGTTCAACAAGTTCAAGTTCAGCCTCAGCAACTCAGTGAGGCCCTAAGCAACTTAATGAGACCCTATCTTAAAACTAAAAAAATAAAAAGAGCTGGGGATGTGACTCTATGGTTAAAGGCCCCTGGGTTCAAACCTTGGTACAAAAAAAAAAGTTTCTCTACTCCCTAACTTGAGGTCATTACTCCTGTTTACATATCCCTGAAACCATACTGTACCTTGTCTTTGATTCTGTGAGAGAGCAGAAGACAGCCTACAAATGTATGCTCATTTAGGAGACAAAGGCTTTTCCCGCTGATGGGAAACCCGGTCTTTTTTTCTCTTTACAACTGAACCATCTCCTTACAACTTTATTCCCTCTGGTTTATTGTGCTGCTTCTCTGCTCTCCCTTAGTTGGACCCAAGCTGTGGGGAGTGATATCTTTGGAGAGGTTTTGTTGGGCATAGGTCCAGGGAACAGGAGGAGACAGTCTCCTAGTACAGGGATGTCTTTGTTTGGAGAACCCAGAGCTGACAGTTTTATTCCCTATGGCATCTGCCAAAGCCTTTCTTAGTCTAGCAGAATGTCAATGTCAGTGCTAGGGGTTGCCCCCCATGAGAGGGGGAAGGATCACTATGGCAATGTGTTACTCAGGGCAGCTCTTCCAGCAGACCTCTTTCAGTGTCCTGTGCCTTGCTGGTAGCTCGGAGACGTACAGGAATATCCCAGCTCCAAAACCTGTTCTCATGTGAGCCAGTGTGCCTGTTTGAGGTCTCCAGGGCTTTAAGTCTCCTAGGCACTTAATACTATCATTGAAGGCCCACTGTTTCCTGTCCACTGTTTCACTAGCTGGGAAGGAAGAAGATGCTCAGGGGTGGGTTCCAGGGCTGCCTGGGTTCCAGAGCTGGCTGACCACTGGGCAAGTTGTGTAAGCCCCACAGGTTTGGATTTCTCACCTGTAGAGTGGGAAGCCTAGTGATAGGGAATCTGCCTTCCAGGGTGTAAAGAAGATTAAAAGAGAAGATGCTTGTCAAGCTCCCGGCCCCAGGCAGGTCTCTTATCACTAGGCTCAGGGATCAGAGCACAGTGGGCTTCAAGAAATGGCTCTTGAATTAAAGTATGCAGCCAAGACAAAGGGCTGGCTTCAAAACATTTGCAAAATAGCTATTTACATCCAGAAGGAAATGCTGAAATGCACACAATCACCTAGCTACTAACTGTGCACTCTCCTTTTTCCTGGCTCTCTCACTTTCAAACACTGTTTCTCTTAACTCTGTACTAACCTAGAAAATGCATATTATCTGTATTTCTTCCTGGTCACATTACTTTGTCATATTTTTGCTCTAGAGGTGCTTGTTTTTCTAAATCAGACTCCAAGCTGACTTTCTCTCCAACACTAGCACGAGAAGTCTAGACCATCTGCTGATTTCCCTTTCAGCCTCTGGGTGCCCAGCTTTCTCTAAATGTGCCCTAGCTTTCTCTAACTCCTCCTGTCTCCTCTCTGGGTCCGCAGTCCTCTAGAGAAACCTCAGTGGAATCCTTGGTCTCCCTTAGTGACCTCACCAGGTTTTAAACCATAAGTAATGACTCTAGAGAACACTAAATTCAATCACCTATTATTGTAAAAATAGGCACTGCTGCTCTCACAAATGATGTGTCCATTTGTAGATATTTCCCTGAAGAAAGGAATTTTGCAGCACAAACGTAATAATCACCACATTGACCAAGCAGCCCAGGCTCACACACCCTGCCTGGCAAAGTCACCAACAGACCTCGCATGTGGAGACCGGGTCTCCTGCCCTCCCTCACCATTCTTAGGACACACCTGAGCTAAGGCAGTGGCTTGGGAATGAGGAGAAGGGTAGGGACTGGAGGGATGCCATCATAGAAGGCGTGGGACCTGGTCATTAGTCCAAGGGAGTGTGAGGGAGAGGGAGGAGCTGAGGCCTCTTTGGTGTCTCTCAGGAGACAAAGGTCATGGAATTAGCAGGAGAAGATTGGAGCAAATTTGTTTTGGGACATGTTGGGTAAAGAAGCCCCTAGGATAGCTCAGAGGAGGTGGGACCAGGTGTCAGGGGCCTGGTAGATGGTTCTGAGCTGGAAACAGAATTTACTGTGTGTCTCAGGTGGTGGGTAAAATCCTGGGAGTAGGTGGAACACGGAGAGAGGAGAACAGAGGAAGTGGGCAGAACCCCAAGGGACAGCATTAGTCAGGAAGCAGAAGTGACTCCTGTAGCTCAGCTTAGAGCAGTGCTCTGGGAACAGGGAGAAGAGAGTGAAGAGGGTTGGAGGGGTGACAGGTCCCAGGGCTGTAGAGAGCACAGGCGAAGTCTGAGAAACACCCATTAGTAGGTGAGTGGTGACCATCACGGATGGTATCAGATAACAGGTGGAGTGAGGAGTGAATGATAGGTGATCATCAAACAGGGAGGGGATGCAATTCTTTCCAGAAACTCAGTTAAGAAAGAAGAAAACAGGTGGTACCAAGAGGAGCTGGTTCAATGCAAGGCCTAACCTCTAGGAGAGGCCCCCCACAGATGGTCTGGAGGCAGAGAGGAGGCTCAGAGCTGGCAGCAAAGCAGGTGGGGAGAAACCACGCCCACACAGGGCGATGCAGATAGGGCCGGGGCTCAGCCAGGCATCCTGGTTTCCATTTGTGTTTTAGAAATGAAGCTGTCATTTTAGATATCATTCACGTGGGAGTAGAATATGATGCTAACCCTGGGAAGGGCTGCCACAACCATCCAGGCCAACCTCTTTCAACTTCCTCTTGTTCTCTGCATTTCTCTCTGGCCATCACGACCCCTCAAGCTGATTTACCAACTCATTTGCCTTCACTTGCTGGCCAGGTGCCCAGAGCCACACACTGCACCAGCTCCCGTGCTCCCTCTGAATGACTCCAGAACTTATCTATGCATAGCACTGCCCAATGCACACCTCCAGGGGGCGCCACTCACGCCGCCATCTATCTGAAGGTGCTCCCTGCCTTGTGCAGTGTGCTGACCCCAGGGCTAGGCTTCTCAGGGACTTCATGAAATGCTCAGTACACATCAGTAAGGAAGGCTCTGGCAACCAGGCTAGGGCATATTTTTCCACTTGGCAGTCATCTTTCCTTGGAAAGTGAGCAGGCAGCTGATGAGATGAAATGCTGAAAGGCCAGCCAGAGCAAGGAAGCTGCTCCCGTCATGCCAGCCCGGGGAGAGGCAGGCGGGGAAGGAATGCTGAGGAGAATAGGGGCAAGGAAATGAAGACTAAAGCCCAGGTGCACAGGCTGACAGTCTGACTTTTCTTCCTCTCTTTTTTGTTCCTGTAGAGGAGTTTTCTTAGACACCATCCTTCCCCGTCGGGATGACAATGGCGTCAGGCCCACCATTGGCCAGCGTGTGCGTCTCAGTCAGGGAGACATAGCTCAAGCCCGGAAGCTGTACAAATGCCCAGGTAACTGTGAGCCGCAGGGTTCCCAATACCTCTGAGCATCCCACAGAGCGCAGCTCACTGCTGTTTGCAAATGGCATTCTTGTGATAACTTGGGGAACCTAAAGGGACTGTTCCTTGGCAGTTATTATTTCTGAGATCTGTCTTAGGAGGTGTGAGATTGCATAGAAAACCAAAATGGTGAGGAGAATTAATAGGTTCTCGGAGCCTATAGCAAGACTTGTGAAGGTCTTTGGACTTCTCTGGCAAAGCCCGGGGTCCAGAGGGGAAGAAGTCGCAGTAGGAGAGCAGTACACAGGCATCCAGGGTGGTTGGCCCCATAACAGTCAGAGCACTGGACGATTGGGACTGGTGATGTGGATTTGGCAAGACAAGAACCAAGGAGCTGGGCAGGAAGACAGAGTGAGGGAGAATGCTTGGGGAGAATGGAGATCTGTTTCCCAAATACTATGGGTAGGGGAAGCCTCAGGTGCTATAAAGGAGGCCATTTCTATGGCCTTAGTCAGTGACCAGTGGCTGCTATTGAAGACTGGGCAGTACCCATGGGTTGGAGCAAATGCCTATTCTGTGGCCAGTTCAGCAGTCCCCGTCCTTTGAATTGGCCCTCTTTGCCTTTTGTCCTCTTACTTTCAGCACCATCTCAACCCCTGCTACCCTGGGGGTGAGGTCTCCTTTCATCCCCTGAGCTGCTGGGTGACAGTGCAAAGCATTGGTTGCAGCAGCCAAAATTTTACCAGGGATGGGACAAAATACATTCCTATGGTTTGGGGAGGACAGTAGGAAGTTCCATTACCAACAGGTCCAGTCACTTTCCAAATGCAAGCCTCTGGAGAAATGCTGGGCTGTCACATTGCTCTACTACACAGGACCATGGGACCTGCAAAGGACTCTGTGGGGCTTGCATCCTCATGAAACTAGGAAATATGTCCATTCAGCTATCAGTCATCTAGGGGCATGTTGGGGCCGAAATACAGAGCACGTATATCATATAACCTTGCTGAATTTAAAGGGAAACCTTATAGCTCTCCCTGGGAAATGCCACAGTATTTATTTAGTTATAATGTATATGCTGCTTATTTCCCAAAAGGGTCCAAGGCAGCTGGTAAATACCACGGAGCTACACAGTAATATATCTGTTGTTGCAGAATGTTGATGATTATTCTAAAATAATTTCCATGGAACCCTCGGGGGTGTTGACTGCCGGGCATAATCCTCGTGATGCCTGGCAGTTGTTCGGTAATATGATATTGAAGCCCCGATATCCAGGATTTCCTGAGGCCAGGGATGGGCCGTTCTCCACACATCTCTTCCTGAAGTTCCAAAAACTATGGATCTTCAAGTCGTTTCACAGAGTGACTGAAAGCTAAGCTGTTGTCAGGCAGAGGTTGAGTCACATGTAGGAGAAGATGTTTAAGGACATTTGTTCCCACGCTTTGGAGGTGTCCCCATAAGATGAGAGGCACCCAGCAAGCCAGCGTCTTTGTCTTTGGGGTTTAAATCCCTGGAGCTCAGAGAAATCCAAAACCTAAAGCTCCCAATATACAGGTACCTTTTTTTTTTTTTAAGGACAAATCTGGGGAAATATTTTTAACATCCATGTTCTATGTTTTAGACTCATGACCAAGTACCCTTCAAACACACAAGGGCAGGATAGCATACGGTAGAATATTTTAGCTTCCTGTGCTTCTACATTCTTCTCTGTTTTCTTGACTAGATGATAGCTTGTTTGGAGGTGTGTGGCAGGAAAAAAAAAAAAAGAGGGAGGAGGGGGAGGTGTGGGCAAGTTTCAAACTAATAGCTGAGGGCTGGGGATGCAGCTCAGTGGTAGAGTGCTTGACCAGCATGCTTGGGGCCCTTGGTTTGATTCCCAGTGCTGGGGGGAAAAAAAATGATTCACACTAACAGCTGAAATGAGTTTAAAAGTATTTTTTTTTCTTTGCCTCACTGACTGGCACTTCCATATTCTTCCTGTGGCATATGTTATCGTTAGCAATCATAATGGCTGCAGTGTATGGAGCACTCAGTAGGTCCCAAGCACTGAGCACACCCACTTCACACAATGCAAATGATTCCACTCACGCTCTGAGTGAGGCCCTGCTTACTTTACAGGTAAGAAAACAAAAGTCCAGCACACAACCACACAGCTGGCCAGAAAGCAGATATTCCAACCCAGCTCTGGGCTGTCCTCAGTCCTGAGAGTCTCAGCAGAGCCCCCTGGGTGTTACTCTTTGTACCCTGATGCTACTTTCACTTATGTTAGCTAGAAAAATGTCAACGTGCCAGAAAAATGTCAGCGTGAGCTTTTGGGAGACACTTCATATCCAAACCATAGCAGATGTTCACAGAAAAATGTCAGCGTCCAAGATTGCGTCTTGCCAGTGGTTCTGAAGGCTTTGGGTGGTGAAGGGTGTGTTTGCCCTGCATCCCTGAGCAGGGGCTGCTTGGGCAGGGACCAGGTGCATGAGCCATGTCACAGTTCTTGTTTTGCTTATGCAGCATGCGGGGAGACCCTGCAGGACACAACAGGAAACTTTTCTGCACCTGGTTTCCCAAATGGCTACCCTTCTTACTCTCACTGCGTCTGGAGAATCTCTGTCACTCCAGGGGAAAAGGTAGGTGGAGCATTAACTGCCCTGGTTGGATCATTGCACGTGGTATATATGTACTGAAGTCGCACAGTGTACTCCATAAATATGTACTATTATTATTAATAAAAAATAATTAATTAAAAATAAATGTTTAAAGAGATGAAACTGTTAACTACCCTGATTTGATCATTACACACTCTATACTTGTATCAAATTCTCACTTTGCCCCATAAATATGTACAATTAAAATAATAATAAATAAATATTAAAGGTGAAAAACCTTCTTGTGAGTTGGGTGAGATAGGAGGACTTATTTTTACAGTTACTAGTAATCATAAGAGCAGTTTTCTTATGAGCACACAGTACGTGCCAGGTACTTCACCGGTGCTATACATTCATTATTTCTGGACTTCTCCACCAGTCTCACCTGTACACAAGGAGGCCTGGCACATACTAGATATCTATGTAAGTTACAAATCAAGCTAACTGTAAAGTAGATTGTATCTCCTACCTTGATAAGCACACTATTATTATGCCCTGGGGAGCAAGGTTCATTTCAGAATTTATTGACAGCTCAGAGTGCTACTCTGGAAGGTGTCAACATGGCAGAACTGGCCACAAACCCACCGTTGATTGCTTCAGGAGCCTGTGTTGACACCCTGGCCACAATCCCAGGCATCAGCCACTCCTACTTTGCAGACAGCTGCTCCTTGGCTAGTGGATGTGGGTAGCCACCCTCAGGAGGATGGGTCCAAAGAATAGTCCTTGCATGCACTGCAAGTGGGCTCAGAGCTATATGGACAGGGAATTCCAGGGTCCTGGATCCTTGGAGTAGGGCTTTGAGACCAAGGAGTATAAGCTCTGGGTTCACATGTTCCTTTGGCCCTGAAGATTCCATGACCCTCTAGAGCTGAGCCTAGGGCAAGGGCCTCTTTACTCTGCAATAAAGGTGGCATGTTCTCAACCCTACTTCAGGGTGCATATTCAGGGTGCATATTCATAGTCTATGAAGGAAGAATTTTAAGCTCAGACATTAAGGTAATTGCCCAAATTCATGGTGAGATATAGAACTGGGAATGGGAAACCAGACCTTGTACTCCAAAGTTTATCTTATTACTTAATAACTACAAATGCAAGTGTTCTTCAAATTGTCTTAGATGTTGTTTTAGTCAGCTTTTTCGCTGCTGTGACTAAAAGATCTGACAAGAACAATTTTAGGGAAGAAAAGTCTATTTGGGGGCTCATGATTTCAGAGGTATCTCAGTCCATGAGTAGTTGGTTCATTCCTCAGGGTTCAAGGTGGGGCAGGACATCATGATGGAAGAGTATGGTGGAGGGAAGCAGCTCACATGGTGATCAGGAAGCAGAGATACAAATATATACCCCAAAGCCAGGGCCCCAATTCCCACCTCCTCCAGCCACACCCTACCATTTCAGGTACCATTCAGTTAATCCCAATCAGGGGATTAACTCATCGATTGGATTAAGGCTCTCACAACTCAACCATTTCTCTTCTGAACCATCTTGCATTGTCTCAAACGTGAGCTTTTGGGGAAACCTCATATCCAAATCATAACAGATGTTCACCGATCTCTGTAATCATTCCTGTCACGGGATGTCCTACAGTTCCGTGACTGCTGATTTATTTGTCTCACTTCTAATCCTTCAGCTCAGAGATTGTCCCCACTCAATCCCAGAGGCTCACATAGTCTGTGGCATAAAAACAGTCACACAATGGATATTTGTTGAATGGCTATGTGGACACCTGAGGGGCTGAGTGACAGCAGGTGGGGGGTGGCAGCAGACAGCCTTCAGGCATTCCTAATGCATAGCTTTAAAAAAGTGTCCATTTAAAAAGTGTCCATTTAGTGTTAAGCATAATGCGATGAAATTTTCTAAGGGCTGGATTCTATTCTTAGCATGTAACGTAGATCATTTGATTGGATCCTCACATCAACCTCATATGCTAGGTGCCCTTACCATGCTCATTTTACAGGTAAGGAAATGGACTTGCCCAAGAATACTGTTTGTTGCACAGTTGGGATTTGAAACTGGGTAACTAAACTGGGAACCCACATGCTTGACCATCATCTTATGTTATTACCCAGACACTGTTTGTGCATTTATACATATACATTTGCACACATACGTGTGTGCTCACACATGTACACTCTTTCTTTGACTCTGAGCATTTAAGATGGTGTTGTTGCCATCTTGTATCCAAGACTCCAGATCTTCTTCCTTGGGCAGATGGGAGGTGTCTGTGTTGGAGGTGCTAACAGGGAGGAGGCAGGGAAGAGGAGGAGGAGGAGCAGGAGGAGGAAGGAGTCTGGTAATCTCCAAATTGTCGAATTGCCCTGCACAGCTGAGGCTGTGATATGTAAGCCTCAATTATTTGTGCTAACTGGGGGCAGGGAGAATATACATCATTGAAATTCCTACACCAATTATTCCAATTTCTGCTTCACACAGCCTTCCCCAGAGCTGCTAGTAATTAGCAAACTTGATTGATTCAAGTATCACCTCTCGTTCATCACCTCTTCCCCTATGGTCTTTATGGTTCACTAACACACTTAAAATAATTAGCCTGAATAATTATCCTGTTCATTCAGATCATGAATGTGTTACCAGGGAAGTTGTACTAACATTTCCTTTCTGTAATTTTAAAAAGCAAAGACTAAAGAATTATCGCGCAACCAACTTCTAAGTATTGTTGAACTCAATCACCTGAATACAGGCACTGTGGGGGATGTGAGAGAAACCTAAGGTAGATCCCTATCTTTAAGAGGCTTAGCATTTAGTTTGGGCTCCCCCTTGCTCCCTAGGAATCTGGTTTAATGGAAGGAGGGGCATTGGCTTGGTACCAGCTTTTTCCTGAAGTTTCCAAGGTGATTCTAATGTATAGTATGGTTGAAAAACACTAGTTTTAAAGGAGAATGACATATCTTACTCATGCATGCACACACGCACACGCACACACACATCCAGTGACAGAGATAAGCTGGCCTCTTATTTTCTGGAATACACTCTTCATTTCCTAGGAGACTACAGGGCTTTGTGAGAGAAGATGCTACTTGTCCTGGGATCTTGTGGGCACCCCAACACCTTGAGATGGGCAACCTGTGAAGGTTTGTGTCAGTTGTGTTCTCTAAGTGCACACTCTTGGGACCTGGTTTTAATTGCCACTTATGGGGTGCCTCCTACATGCTGGGCAGGCTTCCGGACAGTGATCCCCAGGGCTGTTTGAATATTAAAGAAGTACCCAGTGGAGAAGCAGAGAGTGAAGGTGCTGGGGACAGATGAGCTGTTGACAGCGAGGTCCCTGGAATTGTAAAAGGAGTAGGTTCTGGGTGCAGGGCAGGGGCCAGGGCCAGCTGAAGAGCAGGAAGAGCTGAGGATTGAAGGAGCAGGGACATGCTGAACGTGGGCAGAGAGCCGCTAGAGAGCTTGGACCAGAAGGCTACTGCTTCTCAGTGTGACAGCCACCCCTCGCTCTTAGGTTTTACGTCAGAGTGTCCTGGTTAGCTTGTCACACCTGTCCTACCTTCCTTCGCTGACTTCCCTAAAAGCAGGACATCCTCTTACTGATCTCTCTCAGTCACTCAACACAGACTAGCACACAGTAGGTGGTCAACAAGCCATGGTGGAATGAATGAATGCACTAATTATAGGAAGGCTATTAGATACACCATACCTCGGAACAGTGAGGTCATGGCCGAGGGGACATTGATCACGGAGGTGCTCAGATGCACTCAGGCTAACCCCAGACCCCCCGGAATGATTGATGATGTTATAAGATCTTTTCGTATCTCTGAACTTCACTGACCCCTTACCTCCTTCCAAATCCCAGTCTCAACGCGCCCTGGGCTGTCTTTTTAATGCATTGTGCTCTCTGTAAACCACCTAGTGACTTCAAAAGCTCAAGTGATTCCCCAGACAGAGTCTAAGGGCCCATCTCCTTCTGTTTACTCCCCATCCTGCCTAAGGTTTATTATTTAATGTCATGAGGTTTCCTGTGCCTGTATTTTTGAGAAAACACTCCTACTGCATTCTGGGGGCTCTGTATGCTAAACGGTAACATGAGAACACCGGTCTGCGAGACACATCGTGCAGAACTCTTCGGTCTTTGTTGTCCAAACTCACTTTATGGTAATTCCTTACAGATCATCCTGAACTTCACATCCATGGATTTGTTTAAGAGCCGCCTGTGCTGGTATGATTACGTGGAGGTCCGGGATGGTTACTGGAGAAAAGCCCCCCTCTTGGGTGAGTGGACTTCAGACAGCCTTAAGAGAGAAGCCATCAGGTGTTCTCTGGGATGCTCCCGCTGTCTCCAAGGGACCATCTTGTCGGCAGTCACAGGAAGCTCTCAAGGGCCTGTGTCATTGTAAAACTCTGAACACTCCATTTGGCCACACATGTTAAAAGCTTTTAAAACTGCTTATACCCTTTGACCCAGCAATTGCACTTCTTGGAATTTATCCTAGGGAGCTAATTAAGGAAGTGCGCAAAGCTCTAGCTACAGGGATGTGCACTGAAGCAAGGAAAATTGAAAGCAATTTAAACGTTCGATGGTAGGGGTTAGCTGAAGAAATGATGATACATCTTTCCCATGGAAGACTTTCTAGCCATTAAAAGTTGGAGGTGGCTGTGTGTTAATATAGAAAGGTGTTCATGGTATGCTATTACACAGAAAGAAAATTGTGACAGAATAGAATATGTAGTAGCATTAATTAAAAATATGTGTACTGATATACATACATGCATACATACCTAATGTAGACATTGCAAACTTAGATGCCTTCGAAGGTGTAAAGGAATGAGATGGGATTGGTGTAAGAAGTGGTATGGATTGTGATGAACTGAATACCAAATGTGCCACCCCAAATCATTCCAAACAAAATGACTTTAAAAAACATTGTGCAGGCTGAATCCCACTGGAAGAAACCATTTTGTGACCTAAAACATAAAAACCAAGTGATTTTATAAATGTTAATGAGTAATAGTAGTTATCTCAATATGGTGGAGTTTTTTTAAAATTTTTTATTCGGTTCTTGGTTTAGAACTTTTTCCCCTTTTCTATGCTGGATATGTATTTTTGTGAGATGAACAGGGTGTGAACTCTATCCATGAAGAGGCAGCTTGGACCTTGGAGTGAGGGACTGTGAGCAGGAGGCATAAAGAGAAAGCTGAGTTCATTCCAGGCTTGTCACAAAAGCACAGACCCCTCATGAGTGACCTGGGAAGATGAACACTGTTGAGGACCAGTGGGTCAATGACTTGGGAGCTGACATTGGGACTCATTTGGCTCAGGAATGGCAGTCATGATGGAGCTGGAGTGAGAAGCAGATGAACAGGAGCTAGAGGGAAACGTCCCAGCTGAGGGGGCTGTCCTCCTCATTAGAGCCGGCTGTAGGGTGGGCTTCTGGGTTGGATTGGCCTGGGGGCTCAGTGAGGGCTTGGTCTCTGGCGTATCTTCCTATGAGCAGAGAAGCCACTCCTGCTAGGCTGAGCATGACGAGCCTGCAAGTGAGCTGCTGCTGCTCACTGGGCTGAAGATCACAGTGGGAGCTGAGGAGAGGGCTAAACCCCGAGTGTCACTGCTACACGGAGCCCTGGCATCATGCTGGATCCTGGGGAACCACCTGTGGGATACGCCGAAGACACAGTGACAGAAGGTCTGGTTGGACTCAGGAGGGGCCCTGGTAGCTATTGGGTTTCTTTATGACTAAGGGTTTTCCACCTGGTCAGCTACCACTGTGAATAGTGCACAAGCACCAGTGTGAGGAAGGCCATGAGTTTAGATTTCTAGAGGTAAAACAGATAGGCATCCATGTCCTTGGGAGCTCCAGGGAGCTGGGAAGTAACCAGGCAGGCTCCAAGTGGGGGTTCCAGGTTGCCACCATGAGGAGGAATCTTCTGGGTAGATAGCAGCCCAGGTAGACAGGACGGGAAGGTGATCCCCAGGCCAAGCATGCACAGGAATGTGTCCACTGCAGGACAAATGGGTTGTGCCACCCAGTGGCAGCATAGAGGCTGTCTGTCCCCACGGTGTTTGCTGCCTAACATAAGCAGACGTGGCAGGTGCCAGCAGCACTAGTGCTTCACGGGCAGCACTGATCAGGTATGGCAAGATGACAGAGGGTGGGATCCCTGGGAGCAGAGGTTCTCAGACTCAGCTGAGCACCAGCATGGCCTGGGAAGAGTTCCCTGAAGAGAGGTTCCCGGGAGACGACTGAAATGGGTCAGAGAATGGTCCAGCTGACCTAATACAAAGAACGGGGGCTGCAAGGACGCTTATCAATGAAGTGGTTGCCCTTGAGAAAGGAAGTTGGGCTGGAGTCGGCTTCAGGTTGTGTTTTGCACACTTCTCGATTGTTTGGATTTTTCATAAGTACATTTCACAGGAGCTGTTTGGGAGGAGCCCACCAGAACAGGGACCCATAGACCCCCCACCCCTTCATGAGAAAGCCAAGCTCCCCAGTGTGCACTAACTTTCGAGGGTCACAGCTAGTAGTGACAGATGAGAGAGGTGATATTCAGAGATCCAAGTGACGGGGAGATGGCTGCTGGGTCTGAGCAGGATGTCCCCTGAGGGTTGTCATATAAATACATTAATCTGTGTTCCTCTGAAATTTAAATCTGACTGACTTCCTGGAGTTCTGTTTGCTAAACCTGGCAGCCTCTCCCCCAGGGAACGCGATGGGCTTAAGACTCAGGAGGAAGAAGCTTTCTGTTACCCGGTTTCCCCAGAGAGGGCCAAGGCACGTTCCTGGGAATGGGCACTGGCAGAGGGCCAGGCGCTCCCTTGGCTGGAACTTGAAGCAGGGATTTTCTTACTTCAGGTCCTGGTGTCTCCGGCTACGCTTTCATTAATAAGATAGGACTTTTGCAGCGTATTGGTGGTGGCGATGGTTTGGGTATTTTTGTTTTGTTTTAGGAGACCTGGGGTATATATTTTACCCACTAGTGCAGGGTGTGGTGTGTGTGATATGTGTGAGGTGTGTGTTTGCTGTGTGGTGTGGTGTGTGTGGGGGTGTGGTGTGTGGTGTGATATATGTGGTATGTGGTACAGTGTGTGTGTGTGGTATGTACGTGGGGTGTGATGGGGTGTATGTGATATGTGTGAGGTGTGTGTTTGATATTATGTGGTATGTGGTGTGGTGTGTGTGTAGTGTGGTATATGTGGGTTGTGGTACAGTGTATGTGGTATGTATATGGTATGTGGTGTGTGTGGTGTGGTGTGTGCTGTGTGGTATGGTGTGTTTGTGTGTGTGGTGTGGTGTGTGTGTATGTGTGTGTGGGGTGTGGGGTGTGTGTATGTATGTGTGTGGTGTGTGCTGTGTGGTATGGTGTGTGTGTGTGGTGTTTATGTGTATGTGTGGTGTGGTGTGTGTTTTGTGTGGGGGGGTGTGGGGTGTGTGTATGTATGTGTGTGGTGTGTGGTGTGTGGTATGGTGTGTATGTGTGGTGTGTATGTGTGCTTATGTGTGTGGTGTGGTGTGTGTGATGTGTGTGGTGTGT